TGATCTTTTATGCTAACATGTTTTGATGTCCTATCATTTTTAATAGTGACTAGAAAGAGTAATTTTATAGCTCTTTATTTGACTACATGTATAATGCTTTCTCTTGAGATTTCAGAAAATGAATCAGAATTGATATAAATATGCTCTGTCAACTAATATGTCTAGTTATAGGAGATGTGATAAATCAATATCCTGGAAAATAAAATCAAGAGATATATCTTATAACTTATTTCTATATGATGAATAAAAATTATATTGAAATTAGTCCATCAAATAATAATAATAAAAATTGCTATTAGGCTTATCCTTATAAGTTGTTTTTATATTGAAATTAGTCCATCAAATAATAATAATAAAAATTGCTATTAGGCTTATCCTTATAAGTTGTTTGAAATTAATCTCTCCTCTTGCTTCTTGAAAATTGCTATTAGGCTTATCCTTATAAGTTGTTTGAAATTAATCTCTCCTCTTGCTTCTTGTACTCTTACCTGGAGAGACTAATTTTAAATAACATAACAAGAAGATGACCTAATATCAATTTCAAATAATAGGAATGACTAATTACAAAATAATTTAAGAACTTGATAAATAAATACAACGCCTACTAGGCAAAGTTGTGATTCTAGACTTTGTAAATTCTAAAAAGAATCTTGTTGACCCTTTGACTAAGGGATTATCCAGAAGTGTGGTTCTGGATTCATCGAGGGAGATGGGGTTAAGCCCATAGATGAGGTCACTGGCAGCGGCAACCCAACCCTTATTTGGAGACGTAGTCCCAATATTGGTTAAATGTGATAAAAACAAGCTGGACTAGTGACACTCGTGTGGAGCATCAACCCTGATATATTCATATATCACTATGTAGCTTGTGCTACTATCCCTTCTCTATGATGACGATGCTCTTATGATACAGCTGGCTAGGCTGAGTTTTACTCTTAATAAGTCCAACGTGTGTATTATGGGGGGTATTAAATAAACAGCTGTAGTACCCTTTGAGGACTTACCTACGTGAGAGGAACCGTGATGGCCGTGGTTGGGGGCTTGGCTAACCCCTAGAAACTCTCATGAGTCGGTTTATTGTGAGCATGGCCTTTAACGCTCAACCCGCTTTGCTCAATAGATGAAGAGGTATTGTGTGTGTTTTTATCAATACCTGATTCAAGGGGCCTAATTCAAGGCCTAGTCCATTATGTCCCTCAGGTGGTGATGAACTCACTAAAGAAAGGTTCAAAGCCGAAAGCTACCTTTCCCGAATTCACGATACGAAAGGTTGCCCAACCTATATTTGTTTTATGATTTCTTGATTTATTTATTGATTTCTGAGTTTTCAGTTAATATTGCCTTTTGGGGGGGGGGGGGGGGGATACTGTTGGATATTTATTAAGAAAAGGCAATTTTGCCTTTGTGTTTTAGTCCCACATCGGAAAATTAAAAAGAATCCTCTCTCCCTCAACCCTATAAATACACCCTTATTCACATTCTAAAACACAAGAAAATAAAGTTTTTCTCCTCTCCTCTGGTTTAAAGAAAATTGTTTTTTCCCCTCTATAAATTTTGTTATTAATTTTTTTGGGCAATCTTCTTCATCTGAGCTGAAGCTCTGTACTCTCGCCCGAGTACGGAGGCTGACCGTTTACGGGGGCTTTTACCGCTAGGGGGGAGAGAACCATTTGCGCCAAGGCGATAGGCGGGTTCTCAATCTTCTAGGGCAGTGATTACACAACTGCTCCCGTCAGGCCTGATTTTCTTATCTCTTATTTATTTTATTCGGATTTATCTGCATGTTATAACCTTTAAAGTTGGTAAATTTCCAACAGCAGTGACATCATGACTACCCCCGTACAAGCTAGCAAATTATTTCTCTATTTTCTATTTCTAAATTATTATGTGTATTGTTTATTTTATTTTGATAGAAAATATCCAACATTTTTTCCCTACTGAAAAGCCTATACATCCCTCCTTGGCTATGTCGCATGAAAACATGTATCGGTACATGTACAGAACATGGTTAATTTGTAAAAGGTAGGGTATAGGGACATGATTATATAAATATGTATATACACATGTATATATTATATATTAAAATTGATAATTAATATGATATCAACATTTTCATTCATATGTTATGAGAATTAAAATTCCTATAACACTTTTATGTTTATTTTTATGTGAATTATGAATTGGAAAACAACTCGTTTTTTAAGAAAACACCCAAAGGACCCCTTTGAATCATAGTTCTATATTCAATCTAGTTTCAATGAGCTCCAAGAAGTGTATCTGAAGCATATGACATATGTCTAAGAAGTATATAACATATGCTTTAAATTAAAACATGTATTATATAATTGAGTACATACTCAAATAAATGTATGCATATATGCAAGAAGTGTTGATGTGGCTTCATTTAGGAGTATTTAATTAACATAGTTATTTGGTGTCTCGTGTTAGTAATATGGTCCTAGTCTCATGTTAGTAATATGGTCCTGACCAGCTTATCTTGTTTATTGTGTCACTATTTATCAACTCAATTATTGTTTTCCTTTTTTGTTTAATAAAAGATGCCTCATGTTTTAGTCAATGGAACCTCATTAATTTTGTAAAATTCTCCCTTTTTTTCCTCTCCCTCTCCCTCTCCCTCTCTCTCTCCAAGATTTTTGTATTGGACTGTGATGAACTGTCCACGTGTCTCTAATAATTGTCATAAGTCATAGGATGCTCATTGCTTGTTCCTAATGGAGAATCTTCTCGCCGTGGAAACAAAAAAAGGGTGATTAAGTTTCAAGAAATGTGCAAAATGTGCTCGAAGTTAGTAGTCAAACAAAGCTTGTGGGTGGCAGTTGGAACTTTCATGTTTGGTCCATTATGTGGGGCCTAGATGTTCGCACCTGCTCGATGTTTCTTTTTGTGGTACTTCATTCTCGTTCTTGTGTATTTTTCCTCAAGTTTTTCATTTTTTATTGAGGATAAATTGCAGATAAACTCTCCATTCATATCTTCGGCAGCGTTTATCATCCTTTTGGAATTTTGAGAAGGGTTTTGAAGATCAGCCCCTTAAATCATTAGGACTTTGATATTATTCCCTTAAATCTTTATATTTTGTTTAGCCCCTCAAATTACAAAAACATGTTGATACTAGTTCCTCCATTAGGTTTTCAGTTCAAAATCCTCAACCCCTGTTAGGTGTACGTAGCCAGCGATGTGTGTTCAGTTAAACAAAATACCCTCTACCCATGTAATTAATTCATCAACCCAACTCACATCCCCTCATTTCCCCCACTATTTTGAAGAAAGAATCTTGATTTCTGAAGGAAATAGTTTCGCTATTAATAAACCATGATCTTGTTGGGTTTCTTAAGTTTAATGGGTATGTGGTTTGAGTATTAGGACATACATATGGTATAATTGTCCATCCCCTAAAATGGTTAAACATAACAGAATTAATATTCCTCAGCATTTATAACTCTAACTAACCATAGAGACTAATACCAATATATTTGTGCAATTGATGGGCTATCAAAATATAAAGATTTGAGGGACTAATATCAAAAATACTAAAGGGACTAATATGAAAAAAAAATTCCTTTTGAGAAAGATCAATAGAAGAGATAAATCCTTCTTGACGAATTGAGGGTGCTAGCATACGAGTTAAGGCATGATAAACTATCTCGTCACAAATACTATTGACTATATAGATGGTGAGGGTGATATGTAATTCATCCTTTAATTTATTGATAGTATTACTTTTTTTTTTCAACAAATACTACTGACTAATACCAAAACCTTTCGATGCGCAAGCTTAGTACGTTATTAGTAGTATTTCATCATCTTATTATCATTATTTTTCTTCCATTAATCCTTTCTTTCTTGCTATCAATTGAGTAGTTAACTACACGTGTAGCATATACATATGAGATACCGACTTTTTAACATTTAGACATACGTGCATGCTACGTGATATGAGATACCGACGGGCCCCTTCTCTTTTTCTTTTTTTTTTCTTTTTTTTTTCTTTTGGTTTTGGGGATATTTTTTTGTATAAGCATGTTCATGTCGTCATTTCCCATGCTGGAGCCTTCAACCCCTTTTATATTCTTGTTTCTTAGGGATATATTACCACGAGTGAGGAATCTTCTTTTAAACCTTTTGTTTTTGTTTATATAATATATGGTTGCTGTTGAATGGAATATATTCTTCTCTTCATATGATCAGAGGAGACGATATTAATTTAGGCAATATAACTTTTGACTTATCGTAGGTAGCTATTTTGTTCTGGATGATGAGCAACTTGTCGTTTTCAACTCTTGAAATCAGGACCTCTTCTATTGTTGTGTTTGGGAGGGTAGGAAAAGGAATGGAACATGTCAATTTTCCACTATCCCGTTTACCTCCAAATTGGGGTGTAAGGTTTTAGTGTAAAATTTCCCCTCATTTCCTTATTCTACCCTCCCAAAAAATTAAACTCCCAAACATGATTAAACCAAAATAAGTGACAAGGTAAAAACTTCTCCTCCGCTCCCCGAATCTATTTTATGATGAAATGAGAGCAACAACTAATTAGTGCTCCATTAATCATTATCATCAAATTAGTTTTTCTCCAAGTATACTGCTTACCATAGATTAGGTTGCCTCATTTTGGTTCTTAAATATCATAAAAAGCTATTATATATCGCTCGAAAGTTTTAAGGTTTTTTTTTCTCCCCTTTGTTCTTAGAGCTGTTGTGTGCTTCGATCGGGGAGAGAGAGAGAGAGAGAGAGAGAGAGAGAGAGGTGGCCGACTCTTTTGAATGATAATGAAAAAGGAGATATGATCTTGGTAATGCAACAATAATGAGATGATTTTGAGGGGTTAAATAGTGATGTTCGATCACTCTCCGATGTGAATAAGCTGAGTTTAACACAAAGAAGAACATAGCCTTCTTCTTTATATCGCGTCGTGTTCTTGATGTTATAGTTTGATCTTAAAAGGATACCCAAGTTCATACCACAGGCTTCATGTTTCGCATTAATAATCCATTCATATTTGAAAACTGAACGCAAACAGTAGCGACCAAAATAACTACATACAAACACATTAAAAAAAACTAGGTTCTGGTAATTGTTCGATCTTGAGCCTTTAAAAGCTTAATTAAACACAGACATGGTAGCAACCTACATAGCAAGAACAATTTCCATCGCATGTCTGAGTTCGCGACAACTAACATGTAATTCAATCAAACCACAATTAAGAGGGCTAGTTAAGTTGTGACATCGCATTGTGCAGGCTACAATATAATGTAGATACAAAACACTCTCTTAGCTGGCTTGAGGCTTATTGTCAACACCCACCTTGATGTCTTCTTCAGGTTTCTTAGCTGGCGCATATGGAGCTTTGCTCACCAACCTGCACAAAATCCAATATCCAGTTTAGCAAAATACATTTTATAATAAATTATGGTTAGAGAAAATTTTGACATACTATAATACATTTCAAAACATTTTATAGATAGGCGTTGTGGCTAGAGAACATACCCGTGGACATGAGAGTATAACAATTTATGGTCGTTAAGGCGTATACTTCGACCATATCTATGGGGAAATGGAGATATTTTAAGGGGTTAATCGCAGATAGACCTCCCGTTCTATCGCCAAATACAGCTCCCGTAGTTCTATTCTACAAATAAACCCCCTTCAGTCGAATTTCTTCCTCTTTCTCTGAGGGTAAAAGGGTCAAAATTAAAACTCTAATCGACAGCACCTCCGGTGCGCAAGGTGCACAACAAGAGATTAGATCACAATGAAATTCTCGTTTCTCAAAGGAAACAAGAATCAAAAAGCCAGATATCTCATCGAAGTGAGATATCAGCTCTTCCTCTCGTCAGCTCTAGGACTGCGCGTCGAGGGAACCTACAAGCTATTACAAATCACGGCAAAAACACAATTTTTACGTGGTTCGGCAAATAGCCTACGTCCACGGGGCAAGGAGGGGGAGATCTACTATTAGAGGGAGAGATACAACTAGGGTTTACAATCTCACAATCTAAACCCTCTCAAACAAACTCTCCAATCCCTCTTACAAAATCTCTCTCAAAAGAAACAAAAAAGGGACTGCCTTTGCTTTTCACGCCCACAGCAAAAAGGAATTCACAGCCGCCAATATCTCCTTGCTTTTCTCCTCGGTTTGCACAAAACAACCGCTGTTTTTGCTCACCTGCAGCCGCTCCCAATCTCTCTTGCACGCACTCTGTAGCCGCAACCCCAAGAAAACAATCCTTGCACACTTAATGCCCTAGGCATCAAATGATATATATAGTCTTTGTTTATTTCCGGGTGGGCCGGCTTGGCATTCGGGTTCAAAACGAATTCTCACGCCTCAAACTTTGCTTCACGTGGGTCTTCACGTGGGTAGGTCCCACACGTCTTCACAATTCTCCACCTCGGTGAAGTTTTCCCAAAACTGAGCCGACACCAAAGCACCTCAAATGTCCCACTTGTTGTGTTCATTATGAACTCAATCCACAACAAGTCGAGAACCCGAACGAGAGTCCAAACAATCTTACCCCCAACAACTAATCCAAAACCGGCTGCATCTGAAAGACTGCCTACGTATCCTCTTGCCCAAGGAATCAAGCCGAACGTAGTTCACCCAATGGCCTCGAAAGGCCTCAACATCGAAGAATGTTCAAAAGTTCCAAACAATGACCAAACTTAACGCCTGAAACAACTTTGGTCAACATATCCGCAGGGTTGTCCTTCGTGTGGATCTTCTCCAACGGTACCTTTGATATACCGTAGAATCCACTTCACGGCCTCCCAATGACCCTTCCCGGGGTCGTGCATGTATCTGGATACCATGCTCACGGCCTGTGACAAATCTGGCCTTGTACACACCATCGCATACATCAAGCTACCCACAGCATTGGCATATGGAACTTTGGACATGTATTCACGGTCCTCAACTGAAACAGGTGACATCTTAGCTGATAGCTTAAAGTGGGGAGCTAATGGAGTACTCACCGCCTTGGCATTGCCATCATAACTGAATTTCTTCAGCATCTTCTGCAAGTAACTCCTCTGTGTCAACTTCAACCTCCCATTCACCCTGTCTCTCTCAATCTCCATACCCAATATCTTCTTTGCTTCTCCAAGATCCTTCATCTCAAACTCGGATGACAGTTCTTTTTTCAACTTCCTAATAGCTGAAGTATTCCTGGAAGCTATGAGCATATCGTCAACATATAATAGCAAATAGATATACTCACCATTCTGTAGCTTGTGCATGTAAACACACGGGTCATATGGGCTCCTCGTGTATCCTCGGCCAATCATAAAGCCGTCGAATCTCTTGTACCATTGTCGCGGTGATTGCTTTAATCCGTAAAGAGACTTCTTCAGCTTGCATACTAATTCTTCCTTTCCTGCAGCTTTGAACCCCATAGGTTGTGTCATGTAGATCTCCTCTTCTAAATCTCCATGTAGAAAGGCTGTTTTCACATCCATCTGGACCAAATCCAAATCCAGCTGTGCCACCAATGCTAATAAAATACGAATCGACGAATGCTTTATAACAGGTGAGAATACCTCGTTGTAATCAACGCCCTCTAGCTGTGCATATCCCTTGGCAACCAATCTGGCTTTGAATCTAATTTCCCCAATAGAAGATCCCTCTTTCTTTGCATACACCCACTTGCATCCAATAGCCTTCTTACCTTTCGGTAGCTTTGCAAGTTCCCAAGTGTCGTTCTTATGAAGAGACTGCATCTCCTCCTCCATGGCTTCCCTCCACCTAATCAAATCAGAGCTTGACTCTGCTTCCTTGAATGCAAAAGGAACCAAATCATCAACGACTTCTGCTGATAAAGCATATGCAACCATGACATCGTTATATCTAGCTGGCCGACGAATCTCTCTTCTCGGTCTATCTGCTGCAATGGTCCTCTGAACATGACCCTGTTCCTGAGTCCCATGATCTACTGTATCCTGTATCTGCCCATCTGTCTTCTCATCTCCTCCCAGTGTCACCTCTGTAGGAGCCTCAATGGATACAATGTTATCTGGAGTGGGTGGAGTCACATCATCCTCCACCTGCTGCGATATCAACTGTCTGGTCTTCCTCCACCTGCTGAGAAACTTGAGGCTTCATCATGTACGTCTCGTCAAATGTGACGTAAAATATGTTTGAAAAGGTAAATTTACACCCCTATTTTCGGGTGAAGTAAAATATGTTTGAGAAGAATTATTGACTTGAATTAGGATACCGGGGCTTAGGAAGTATGAATTAAGTAGTATATATCTTCAGCTTCCCTCTCCGTGTTGGTAATAATCGAGGAGATAATTAATCTTGGTTATCTTGCCAGAAGAGAGGCTTTCATGTCCGTTGTCTGAAGAGAAACTTTGTCTAAATTTGTTTCTTCAACACGATAGCAGTAGTGGAATTTGCACTTCCTATGCAAGTACATAGAACAGCTTAATCTAACATAATGGTGAGTGGGATATGTGACTGGAAAGCTACTTTACCGTGAAATTCCTTTGGTGAGGGCGAAGGTGAAGGTGGTCCATCAATGAATTCAAATAACCGGAATATTATATCATCTACAAAACTAATTAATTTGTCTAAATTTGTGACCAGATCATGTATCGCAGTGCACGGCAACCTATTCACGAGATGGCTCGCATAAACCAACGCTTCGGCCCAAAAGGATATTGACAATCCACTTTGCGTCATCATACATCGCACCTTCTCCAGCAAGGTACGGTTCAACCTTTCAGCCACCCCGTTCTGTTACGGTGTTTCACGTAGAAGTGTCTTCTAATGCCGTGATCCCGGCAAAACTGCAGAAACGGATCACTCTTATACTCTCCTCCATTGTCTGAACGAAGAGTTTTTACCTTTCTACCTGTCTGCAGCTCCACTTTCTTTTTCCACTCCACAAAAATATCCAGGACCTGATGTTTATGCTTCATCGGGTATACCCAATTCCTCCTGGAATAGTCATCAATGAAAGTGACAAAATAGTTGGCCCCACCAAGTGATGTGTGCTTGGAAGGGCCCCAAACATCTGTGTGAATATAGTCCAATATACCTTGGGTATTGTGAATAGCGGTGCCGAATTTCACTTTTGTCTTCTTCCCAAGTATGCAATGTTCACACAGCTCCATCTTGCAGGTCTTCGCACCCTTCAATAGCCCCTGCTTCGCCAATACCTGCAGGGACTTATCACTAGTGTGTCCCAATCTCATGTGCCATAAACTGGTAGTATCTTCCTCTGTGGTAATCGAAGCTGCCAGACCCCCAGTTACTGTCTTGCCCTTCAAGTAGTAAAGATAGTTTTCCCTGACACCTCGCATCACCACCATGGACCCCTTTGTGACCTTCAAAGTCGCATTTTCCAAGATCACCTTATAACCAGCTGCCTCCAAAGTTCCAAGCGAAATGATATTCTTCGTCAATTGAGGAACGAATCTCACTTCCTTCAGCTCCCGAGTCACCCCGTCACACATACGGATCCGTACTGTACCAATACCACCAATAGGGCATACGTGATCATTACCCATGAGCACGACATCCCCTCTTTCCAACTCCTCAAAGCTGGAGAACCAATCCCTCCTAGGGCAAATATGATATGTAGCACCAGAATCCATCATCCACTCCGTAGAGTCAGCGTAACAAACTGACGGTAGTGCAGAGCAGGAATAGCCTGAAGAATCTGTATCTGAATTGTCGTCACTAGCCTTGACAACATTCACTTCCGAAGCTTGTACAGCTTTCCCTTTATTCTTCCCAGCTTTGTCTTTCAACTTTGGGCAGTCGTTCTTCCAATGTCCTTCTTCTTTGCAAAAGCGACATTGATTCCTACCAATATTTCTATGGCCACCTCTTGACTTCGATCTTGAGCGATCACCTGGACGACGGTTTGGACCACGGCCTCGAACTGCTAATGCATCTCCCGATGCCTTCTCGGAGGGTTCGCCATCACTCTTCCTCAACTCATAATTCACCAAAGCTGAGGTCACCTCCTTGTAGCTAACCGTAGTTCTTCCATTTATCATAGTGAGAACAAACGTTCCAAAATCATCCTCCGGCAACGAACACAATAGTAGCATCGCCTTGTCTTCATCCTCAACCATGATATCTACATTGGCCATATCCGAAATTAGCTTCGTGAAGTTGTTAACATGCTCCCGAATGGAAACTCCCCTCTTCATCTTGAATTGGTAAAACCTCTTCTTCAAGTGAAACCGATTCTCAATGCTCTTCGTCAGATACAACATCAATTTTTGTATTATTGATGCTCAGACTCTGTATCGCCTTCGAAAGAGACGATCCCGATGTGCTTGTTTCACCCATGTTGTCGATCTAATCTTCAATTAGGAATCCTTCAGCGAATCCTTCGAACAAGCTCCCAAATCTAACCCGGAGCTCTGATACCACTTGTTGTGCGTAGCGGAAATTTCGGCAGCACCTCCGGTGCGCAAGGTGCACAACAAGAGATTAGATCACAATGAAATTCTCGTTTCTCAAAGGAAACAAGAATCAAAAAGCCAGATATCTCATCGAAGTGAGATATCAGCTCTTCCTCTCGTCAGCTCTAGGACTGCGCGTCGAGGGAACCTACAAGCTATTACAAATCACGGTAAAAACACAATTTTTACGTGGTTCGGCAAATAGCCTACGTCTACGGGGCAAGGAGGGGGAGATCTACTATTAGAGGGAGAGATACAACTAGGGTTTACAATCTCACAATCTAAACCCTCTCAAACAAACTCTCCAAACCCTCTTACAAAATCTCTCTCAAAAGAAACAAAAAAGGGACTGCCTTTGCTTTTCACGCCCACAGCAAAAAGGAATTCACAGCCGCTAATATCTCCTTGCTTTTCTCCTCGGTTTGCACAAAACAACCGCTGTTTTTGCTCACCTGCAGCCGCTCCCAATCTCTCTTGCACGCACTCTGTAGCCGCAACCCCAAGAAAACAATCCTTGCACACTTAATGCCCTAGGCATCAAATGATATATATAGTCTTTGTTTATTTCCGGGTGGGCCGGCTTGGCATTCGGGTTCAAAACGAATTCTCACGCCTCAAACTTTGCTTCACGTGGGTCTTCACGTGGGTAGGTCCCACACGTCTTCACAGGGGCTACTGCCATAATAGAACTACAGGGGTAGTAAGTTCAATTTGGTGATAGTACAGGGGCCTATCCGCAATTAACCCTAACTTAAATGGTTATTTGCAGATAAGCCCCTTATACTATGAGGTATAGTTACTAGAAATGCTCTATTTTTATTACCACATACACCTCAAGTCCCCCTGAGAATCACATAATCACGGAGACATGTACCAAGGACATTCACGTGGTGAGATCCCGACATGAGTTTAAAACCTAAAGAAAAAAATGAAGTCATCATTGAGACAGAGGATGTATCTTCTAATAAGATATAATATGGGCACTAAAGGCCGAATTAGATCAAAGTTCAAGTCCATCAATCTCCAACTACTCTAATCTAGTAAAAGATATGGGACATGACTATACAGTGCTCTAGCTGCTGCTCAAATGAATGCAATCCCTTCTCTTGATATATTATATTTTTGTTATATTTCATTTGCATCAGGAAATAATTTAAACACTTGTTACATAGAAGATCAAACCCATGTCCCTTATGGGTACTAAAGGCCCAGTTTGGGTTGTGGCGTCTAAATTGTGTCAGAAATTGATATAAGATGAAAATAAGCAAAACTCATATTTCTTCTTAAACCAAAGGCTTATTTTTGACTTTGATACACCAATGTTTACCTATTTTTGACTTTGATATCTCCAAAGTAATTTTTTTAACACTTTGATACCCAGAGTTTCAATCCCATTCATCCAATTGTTTGTTAAATTTATACCACGTGCGAAGCATGTGATACGCCATCTGCTGCCATTGGAAATATTTAGTTACTTGAACCCCAGCAACTGGGTGAAATGGACCTATATGTAATACAAAGTAAACATAAATATAAAAATCTGGATGACGAATACAAATGTTAAAAAATACTTTGGGGTATCAAAGTGAAAAAATGGGTAAATTTTGGGGTACCAAAGTGAAAAAATTAAAAAGATCCTAATTTGATTAATCAAAAGGTATATAGTTTCACATCAATGGGAACAAATTTCATTTGGAAAAGGCATTTTCCCTGCCCCCCCACTCTTTCTTTTACGTTCTTTTGTTTTCAGCTTTTTTAATTAATTTAATGACTAAGTTGCACATATATGTTATTGAATTATGTTTCTGCATGTTCATCCTTATAGTAAGAAACCTACACTTCAGGCTGCACCATGTGAATGAAAATAACTACCACAATGATCAAACCATGTTCTCCGTCTTGCATTGGCATACGTTTGCACATGTTCAATAATACAATAACTTCATGAAAACTAGGATATTTACCTTTTTCTAACATTAAGCCTCAGTATGATCTAGTCATATCTGCATAATCACAACTTGTATGCACATATCTATACTCGAATTCTTCTGATCATATCGCATAATAATGAATACGATTTTTCATGTGTCGCATTTATATTTCTTCTTTGTCTGAATGAGTGAGAATAATGCCAACTGTCATCATATTGATCTCATGCAA